CGCTGGGTGGGGGGCGCTGGGACGGGGGCTGTGGTGGGGCCTTGGGGCTGTCCGAGGCGCTGTGAGGAGGTGGCAAAGGCTGCATCTGGGCGGCTGGCTGGGGTGGGTGAGTGCCGGGTTCGTCCAAGCTCTGTTGCGTGGTCATCATGGTGGGCGGCTAAGGAGAAGCAGCTACATGACGCTGGGATGGCGGCCAGTGGGGCGGGGGTGCTAGGACAGGGGTGTTGGGATGGTGGCGCTGGGATGGTGGTGGTGGCGGTGGCGGTGGCGGTGGCGGTGGTGCTGGGACAGTGGCCTTAGGGCTGTCCGAGGTGGCGAAGGCTGCATCTGGGCAGCTGACTGGGATGGATGAGCGCCGAGTTCGTCCAAGCTCTGTTGACACGGGAAACCACGGCAGCTCTCCACGAAGACTGTCCCTTTCATTGTTTTTTAAAAATATACTTCCAAATGAATTTTAGATCGAGAGGAAGGGAGAGGGAGATAGAAAGAGAAACACTGATGTGAGAGAGGCACATTGATTGGTTGCCTCTTGCACTCCCAACCAGGGGATGGAGCCTGCAACGGAGGTGGGTGGCCTTGACTGGAATCGCACCACGAGCCCTCCGTCCATGGGATCGACCCGTGATCCCTCTGTCCGCGGGCCATCACCCCAACCACTGCGCCCACCCAGCCAGGCAGGTCTGGCTTCTGGAGACCCTGCAGGAAGGCTCGCCCCTCGGCGGGGCTGCAGCGTCACCAGTTGCTCAGCGCGTTCCCGCTCCGAAGGAGGCTGGGGAAGAACGTATTTGGCAAAGTTCTTCAAAGCCACGTCATGGCGGTCAAAGTAGTCAGACACGGACAGGCAGACAGACAGGCAGACGTAGGAAGCGTGGAGCTGCAGGCTGACCTGGGGGTTGATGGCGGCCTCCGAGTCTGGGCAGTCATCCTGCGAGATGTGGTGGAAGTCCCTGTCGCTGTGGTCGTCATTGCCGCCATCGTTGTTGTGTGGTCATCATGGTGGGCGGCTAAGGAGAGGCGGCTGCGTGGTGCTGGGATGGTCGCGGTAGCAGGGCCTTGGGGAGGCGGTGGCAGAGGCCTGGTGGGGCAGCGAAGGCTGCATCTGGGTGGCTGGCGGGGATGGGGACAGCCCCGGGTTTGTCCAAGCTCTGTTGTAGCAGAAAACCACGGCCACTCTCCACAAAGACCGTCACTTTCATTATTTTTAAAAATTTTCTTAATTGGGCTTTAGAGAGAGAGTGAGAGAGAGCGAGAGTGAGAGCGAGCGTGCGCGAGTGCTAGAAAGAGAAACATCAATGTGAGAGACATGTTGATGGATTGCCTCTCGCACTCACCCCTACCAGGGATGGAGCCTGCTAGGCCTGCCACCCAGGTAGGAGCCCTTGACCGGAATCAAACCCAGGACCCTTTGGTCAGCAGGCTAATGCTCTATCCACTGAGCCAAACCGGCCAGGGTTGGCAACATTCTTCAAAGCCTTGTCACTGCAGTCAAAGTAGTGAGACAGGGACAAGTAGATGTAAGAAGCGTGGACTCCAGGTTAATTTGCTGGTTGATGGCGCCTCCAAATCTCGATAGTAGTTCTGGCGCACCCGCGAGGTGGATGTGGCGGTAGTCGCTGTCGCCATGGTCAGCATCGCTGTCATTGTTGTTGCCGTGGTCTTGGTCCTCATGGTGTGGTCATCGTGGTGGGTGGCTAAGGAGTGATGGCTTCGTGGCGCGGGACGGTGGTGGCGATGGCAGGGCCTTGGGGCTGTCCGAGGCCCTGTGAGGAGGTGGCGAAGGCTGCATCTGGGTGGCTGGCTGGGATGGGTGAGCGCCGGGTTCGTCCAAGCTCTGTTGAAGTGGGAAACCACGGCGACTCTCTGAGAAGACGTTCACTTTCATTATTTTAAAAATATACTTTAAAAAATCCTCACCTGAGGATATTTTCCCATTGATTTTTAGAGAGAAGGAAATACAGAGAAATATCAATGAAGAGAAACACATCGATTGGCTGTCTCCTGCAAGAGCCCTGACCAGGGCCTGGCAGGAGCCCCCAACCGAGGTACATGCTCTTGACCGGAATCGAACCTGGGACCCTTCAGTCTGCAGGCTGATACTCTATCCACTGAGCCAAAACAGCTAGTGCTAAAATATAGTTTTTAATCGAGTTTTAGAGAGAGAGAGAGAGAGAGAGGGGAAGGGAGAGGGAGATAGAAAGAGAAACATCCCATATGAGAGAGAAACATCTATGGACTGCTCCCCATGCGCTCAAACCAGGGATCGAGCTGGCAACCTCGGCATGTGCCCTGATGGGGAATCAGACCAACCTTTTGGTGAGACGATGCCCAACCAACCGAGCCACACGGGCCAGGGCTTACTTTCCTTATTTTTAAAAACGTGATGTGTAGCCCTGGTCCGTGTGGCTTGCTTGGTTAGAGCGGCCTCCGTGCATCAGGGGACCGCGGGGAGGTGCTATCGGTTTACCATTCGGTCACCATAAACGGTTTCTAACTCCTGGCGTTTACAGATGGCGCTGCACTGGACATCATTGTACAAAAAACTCACTTTTCCCCTGGTTATTTCCTCGAGATGAAGTCCTAGACCTGGAATTACTAGGTCAAAGTTAAAAACATTTAAAACGCCCTTACTATCTTTCTACATTGTCAGAATGAAAGGTGGCTTTAATTTATGCATCTGCGGGCAATGATACGATCTTTCCCTTCTAAAAAAGAATTTCCTCTTAACTATTGTAAAAGGTAATGGCAGCATCCTATTTTCCTTTCTATGCACGCCTGCGCCCACTCCTAAGGCGGTCCTTGCTTCCGGGTGCTTTTCTGTGAATTAGGCCCGTTTTTTCCCCCCCTGCGAGGATGCGTTTATTTCTTATTCACTTGCACAAGTTCTTTATAAACCAGAAATAGTATGCCGTTAGTTAACATATTTATGACAAATGTATCCCCAGATTGTCTTTTGGTTTCTAATTTTATTACCACTTCTGAGGTGCAGAAGTTTGCATCTTCACAGTTTTTTTTTTGGTGATTTTATCCACGGCTTTTTATACATTACAAACGCATCTCCAGACTCACCTGAATGTTCCACTAGATTATTACATGTCCATTTTTTTTAAAAAAGAAGTTAAGTCTTTAATTTGTCTGCAACTATTTTAACGAATGCTGTGAGATATAAATGGAACTGGACTTTTCCCAAACAGCCAATTTTTCCATTATAGTAACTGCTTCACATTTATTTTCCCTATTAGTTTGTGCTTCTTTTTATCATATATCATACGAGAGTCCCTTTCTGGGCCATTCTACTCTATTTCATTCATCTGGTTTCTTCATGAACTAATGTGAAACTTTCTATTTTTCATATCTGGTATGGCAAGTTCTCCATATCATTCTTTTAAAAAAATCGTAGTTATTCTTATCAGTTTATTCATCCAGATGACATTTAGAATTTTGACACATTTCCCCCAGATCATGTGGAATTTTGGCTGCAATTGTTCCCACCAAGGATCAGGGTGTGGCTGTAGTTTTCTTCACCTAGATTCTGCTCAATTGTTATTCCTAAGCAATTTATTGTGACTATTGAGAGTGGATTTCCCCACCCTCCATGCCCTGGCTACTACTCATTATTGTTAGAATAACAGAAAGCAAGTGATTTTTTCTTTTTTCTTTTTGCTGCTACCAATTCTGAGACTGTCTTAAACGCTTATTTTGGGGTCTCTAGAAGGGCCATCACACATACAAATAATGGTACTTTGGTGTCTTCTTTCTGACACTTCGGTGGCCTTCTTGCTGCTGTTCCCGCGTCACTGCCTCCCTGAGGCCTGCAGAGAGTGTTCAATGGGCCGGTGAAGAAAGCCTACCTGCTTTAGGCTTATTTTTTTCCTTGAAAATGCTTCCAGCGCTCATGTCTGTATTCCACTGATAGTCTGAAGCACCTTTTAAAATGTCGTGCTCAGAAAGTCTCTTTCCCGGAAACGACAAATGGGAGAAGTAAAACTAGATACTGATTTTTAAAGTGTGTGTGTGTGGGGGGGGGGGGGCAGGGAGGGTGCCTCTGGGTGCAGTGGGGGCGCCGGCTGCTCTCACACACCCTCCTGTACAACTGGATCTGGACTCTGCAAGAATTATGAATTACTCTGCTTCTGCTTTAAAATCAAGCAACGGCAAGGGGGGAAAAGGACACAGAAATTTTTCTTTCCAGTTTTCAAATAACTTAAAAGTTCGAGAGGGGATGCCAACATTTATGACTGCCTTTCCCAGCGAGCGTGAGGACGGCCAGGCTGCTGCTCAGCCACCTCGCCAGCCAGCCTTGCGTTTCCGAAACCAAGGCCCGCAGACCCTGGGCTCCGGCTACCGTGGACCTGGTGGGGTCTGAGGTCCAACGTCCTGCTGGACGGTGTCCCCCGCTGTGAGTCGGGTCAGTGAGAGGTGGGAGGGGGTGGGAGAAGAGGGGAGGGTCGGGTCGTGTGACCACCCAGAATGGCCCTTCCTGGAACTTTTCACCCCAACCCCCCGGGGCAGAGCCTCGCTTTCCCCGTTTCTTCCCAGTAATTCAGTCCCATCTGCTCGCTTTTGTAAAACCTAAAACACGTGCCACGCCCCCACCCCGCGGCGAGGTCGATGCTCCCTGCTGGGCCCTACAAGCCCATTGTGGAGCTGGGGGGCAGGGCTGTGGGAGCCGGGGGCGGGGCTGTGGGAGCCGGGGGCGGGGC